AAACCTAATGAAGACTTCTTTTGTTTATTTGTTTATTCATTCATTTCTCCCCAATATTAGTCCTACTTTCAATCAAAAAAGCTCTGCTTACATTTCGTTTAAAGAGAGGATTATGTTGGATATATATAGAGAGAGAGATATTCACACTGTAGGTTAAAAATTTACATATTTACAGAGTGGCCCAAAGGTCATTCATAAAGTTACCATGCTTAGGGAAAGTGGGAAATTGTAGCTAAATATATCTTTATTTACAAAATATCATTTTAAAATTTTTCAGAGAGGTGGCCAACATGTAGAATATTTTGTAAATATTTTTTAATAAATACATATCTTGAACCCTTTTAACACATACAGCTGCCTAAAATGTAATATTTTCACTTCCTAGTGTTTTTTGGGTTACCAGTCCTAGACACCCTCTGATCCTTCCAGCTGTGTCCTCTTGTCAGTCTTCTGTACTCTAAAATAGTTATATGACTCTGCTGATTATCTATAGATAATTCATGAATTCCCTTGAGCCCATGATGCTGCTTGGCACTGTTCTTCCTTTTCTCTAATTTGATATTTCTCAAACTGGCATTCTGAAATATTAGTAAGTGGCATGAAAAAAGTGTCTGTGCTCTGATAAATCTGTATAGTAAGTCCCCTTTTAGAATATTAATAATGTACATTAATGTATTAATGGCTTAATGAGGTCCTATAGTAAAGAAATCTGTTTAACTTTGTTTAGTCCTTCATTTCCCAATTTGAGGATAAAACTTTTTTTTGTTGAGGCAGATATATTAATTGCTCATAAAAGAGTATTCCTTTGAACATAGATTTGAGAAACATATCCATAGCTGTTTCCTTTTCTTCAAAGTGACTATTTGAAACATCTACAGTTTTAACTGAAACCCCTAGCTGTGTTTTCAGACACTTAATCTCTAATTCACTGAGAAAATAGATGCTGTCAATTTCCCTTTTAATTTACTGATGTCCTTAAATTATTTCCTCTTGTTTAGATATTGTTCCCCCACCAGACAGTAACCTGGATGAAGTCAGAGAGCATAACTTTTGTTCACTATTGTATCCCTATCCCTAAACACAGTGCCTCTACTTAAACCCTTATCCCCTTCTAGGAATCACCTAATGTCTTGATATTGTTTCACTTCCAACTGGGTATACTGTAATTCATTTCTGCAAGTCAGCATAGATCCCACAAGATAAAGGACCAAGACTACCTTATTTTAGACACCATCTTCTCTTCAGGGGTCCCGGGGCAACTCATAGCTTTGACCCACAGGCTGTAAATCCAAGGTTCCCATGACCCTCAGTTGCTATAGTTTGCTAGAAACACTCACAGAACTCGGGGAAGGGCTATACTTAAAATTCTAGTTTTATTATAACAGATACAATTCAGGAGGACAAACCAAATAAAGAAACTCATAGGGTGGTCTAGAGGGGAATACATAGCTTCTGTGCCCTCTTATGAGATCAGGGTGCATCATTTTCCCAGTACATCAGTGTGTTCACTAACAAGGAAAGCTCCACCAAGCTCTTTTGTGTCCATGGTTTTTGTTGGAGGTTCATTACATAGGCATGATTGATTGAACTATTGGTCATGTGGTTATATTAAGTCTCAAGTCTCCTTCCCTCATTGGAGGTGGGGTGATCAGGTTGCTATCATGTGGCTCAAATCCCCAACCCTCGAAACACATGGCTAGTCTTTCTGATGTTGCCAGCCCCCATCCTGAAATCATCTAGGTCACCTCATTAGCATAACGAAGATACTCCTTTACTCAGGAAATTCCACAGATTTGGAGTCTCCCCCTCAAGAACCAGGGAGAACAGTCAGTCGAATTCTTTATTATACAATATTCTGCTACTCCTTAAAAAATTGTCTATATATTCTTCTCTTGAATTCTTTCCTGAACTCACTCCAGTCAGGCATTTACTTTCACCATTTCACATTGATAACATTACATAAGGTTGTCATCAACTTCCTTCACACTGCTAAATACTGTGATCAATTTGAAATCCTCATTACTTGATAGCAGTATCCAACACAGTTAATGTCTCCTTTTTGAAATATTTTATTTACTTCCCTTTTGGACACCACTCTTACTCTTAGTTGACCACTTTCTTCCATAACTAAGGGATGGAATGCAGCTCAGTCCTCAGCTCTCTTCCTTCTTAGATACTATCATCTTCTATGCTGTCATGGCTTTAAATATCATCTACATAGAGTTATATCCAAATCACATTTCCATTTCAGAGTCTTCTCCAGAATTATGTATACAACTGCCTATTCAATATATCCATTTAGATATCTAATGAGCATCTCAAAATTATATATAAAGCTGAATTTCTGATTATTTTCTATCCCACTGAAATCTTCTCCTTCCTTAGTCTTTTCCATTTCAGTTAATATTATTTCCAGATATTTCTATCTTCCCACTTCTTTGTACCAAAAACCTTAGAGTCACACTTGATTATTTTTCTTTGTATTCTACATCCAACCTAATAACATACTCTGTCAGCTTTGTATTCATTATAACATAGATACAGATTCTGACTACTTAATACCTCCATTGCTACCACCCTAGGCCAAGACACTAGTAATCTCTTATCAGTACTACTGTAGCAGCCTGTTGATGTTTTCTCCCTTACTCATAGTTAGTATATTTTTACTAATATATAGGAACCAGAGTTGTCCTTTTCTTTCTTTTTTTTTTTTGAGACAGAGTCTCACTTTGTCACCCTCGGTACAGTGCCATGGCATCAAAGCTCACAGCAACCTCAAACTCTTGGGTTTAAGCAATTCTCTTCCCTCAGCCTCCTGAGTAGCTGGGACTACAGGCACCCACACAACGCCCAGCTATTTGGTTTTTTAGAGATGAGATCTCACTCTGGCTCAGGCTGGTCTCAAACCTGTGAGCACAATCTACCCACCATGGCCTCCCAAAGTGCTAGGATTACAGGCATGAGCCACCACACTGTAAAAGCCAGAGTTGTGCTTTTCAAATGTTATTCAGATTATGACATCCCTCTCAAAACCCTTCAGTGGGTTTCTGTCCTTCTCAGAATAAAAGACAAAGTCCTTCCAATGGCTATACAGACCTATATAATCTAGTACTCCTCTCTAATCTCTGTATGTTAAATTCTTCCTTTCAGTCATTTTCTTTTTTTTTGGTTTTCATGTTTTTATTAGGGGCCATGAGGGAGGAAGAGCCTCTTCCCTGTGGATGGAGGTGCTCACAGTTTCTTCAGCCACTCCAAGCTTGGGTCCTGGGGGTAGCTAGGCATGTCAGGCATATTCCCATCATCTTGGATGGGCACTGGGTTATTGTAGGGCATGGCCTTGTTGATCAGGCTACAGTACTTGGTGTAGGGGCTGAGCACTGGAATAATCATAGTGAGGCCCCCAACGGTGAAGGACACACGACCAGCACTGGCTCATTGGCCCAAGCATTCTTGAGGAAGGTGGCAAGTCTAGTGGCCATCTTGGTCTCGGTGGTGGCAGCTTCCCCTTTCAGTCATTCTTTGTAGCCACTCCCTTTGCTATTCTTTGAAACTTTGCACTTGCTATTCTCTCTATTTGGAAAAGTCAATATGGCTTGTTCCCTTACTTCCTTTAAGTTCTCTGCTTAAGTGTCATCTTTTCAGTGAATTTCTCCTAGCCTACACTATAAAATGCCTATCCATTTGCATACATGTATCCTTACTGTTTAACCTGCTTTTTTTTTTTGTCATAGTATTTCCCCCATCTTACCTTCCTCTCTGTTCATGCTTGCATGTATGTATGTGTGTGTGTACACATATAGACACACACACGTTTATTTAATGTCTATCTTCTAATGTAATCTCCTTGGAGATAAAGACTCATGATTACTGAATGAGTCAATGTCTAGGACTTAAGAAGCTGCTTATTACATATTTTTGAAGTTAATACATATCTTAGAGGAAAAAGCATGCCTTGCTTCTTTCCAGGATAGTGGAATTGTCAGACTCCTCTTGAGACATTATTGTATCAGAGGAGCATTAGCTCTCTTCTGTTTTTTTTCTGTCTATAAAGGAGCTCTGGAGTCTTTCCCATTCTAAAATAGAGGGAAAAAAGTCTTCCTAAGACCTTGCATCCTCCTGTAACTACTATTCCCTTTATCCCTCCCCTCACTGCCAGACTACTTGAGAGTCTTGTTTGCTGTCTATACTTCCTCACCTCTGGTTTCCTCTTTAGTATCATTCACTTCTGTCACGTCCACAGAAAGTACCTGTGATGCTCCCAAGTGACCTTCTAATTAGTAAATTCATTTCCTTTTTTCAGTATTCCATCTAACTTCACTCTTAGGGCACATAATATTAGCTACTCCCACTCCCCTGATGCCACTTTTGTGGTTGACTTATCCTTCTGACTTCCATCTCAATCCCTTTTTCTGCCTTTCCATGTCTCAGATTACTGTTCTCTAGAATCTGGTGCTATGTTCACTTCTCAATAGAAAATCTCCCTAGACAATGTCATTCATTTCCATATGCCTCTTTTATGTTGATGACTTCCAAATTTTGATCTTTATGCTTGATGAGGCTTGAATTTCTGATTTTACTGGAATTTCCTTCTGGATGTCCTATAGGAGCCTCAAGTTCACATGTTCAAAACAAAATTCACTGTATTTTTATCATTTGATTTTTTATTAAGGGTATAATAATAGTCTCTAATCCATAGGGTAATTGAAAGGATTGAGTAAGATAACATACAGTACAAACTTAGTGGAATTCTGGCACATAGAAAGTACACAAACAGTAGCTAGCATTATTACATGACAGTCTTCCATATTAGACTGACTGTAGGCTTCATGAGGGCAGGGACCCTGTCCTCAAACCTGATATTGACTTGCATTAGGTGTCCAGGAAAGATACGCTGAGTTAAAATGAATAGTCCATTGAATAAGTGGTTTATGTAACCATCACTTAGTCATCTTGTTTATTTAACATTGAGATGATATCAGATGTTTACTTTTTCTCCCTAGGTGCATTATGTTGTAGTCATTCAAAGGATAACCAAATGTGCCGTGATGTATGTGAGCAGGTAAGCTTGCTTAATAATTGTAGAGACTATTAATTATGTTACTGTTTATTGAATGTAATTATTTTGGAGAAATCTTTTCAACAACACCTTAACTAAGTGATCAGAATTCACATCAGTAATGGGATAAACTGATGTGTCTGCTGGCATGGTACACTTAGAAGGAATACAGTATTTTATATAGCAGTGATTTTCAACCCGTGTGCCAGGCACACTGGTGTGCTGTAAGAGGATCTTAGGTGTATCACAAAATTTTTTAAAGATCATTAATTAAATTATGTTTGAGAGAATTTCAGATTACAGTAAGCATATTCTTTTTTCACTCTTTATTTAATCAACATAATTGAAGTGTGCCATGAGATAAAAAAAAAAAAAAAAAAGATTGAAAAATCCTGTTACATAGGATTCCTGCCAAAAGTGCATAACCTGAATTATGAAGAAATAATTGGGCAAACTCAGAAAGGATATTCCTCAAAATAACTGCCTGTACTCTTCAAAAATATCAGTGTTACTGGGTGGCGCCTGTGGCTCAATGGGTAGAGTACTGGCCCCATATACTGAGGTTGGGGGGTTCAAACCTGGCTATGACCAAACTGCAACAAAAAATTAGCTGAGTGTTGTGGCAGGTGCCTGTAGTCCCAGCTACTCGGGAGGCTGAGGCGAGAGAATTGCCTAGGTCAAGGAGTTGGGGTTGCTGTGAGCTGTGTGTGATGCCACAGCACTCTACCAAGGACAGTAAAGTGAGGCTCTGTCTCTACAAAAAAAAAAAAAAAAAAATCAGTGTTACTAAAACAAAAATAAGCCAAGAAACTATTCCCTATTAAAGGAAGTTAGAAAGACATAGTAATTAAATGCAATGTGTGATCCTAGATTTGAAGGACATATTGGGGTAGACTGGTGAAATCATGATGTGGACTGGATATTAACTATGGTAATACTGTTATCTTGAATTCGGTGGTTGTATTGTGATCAGGTGTGGTGGTATCTTAGGAGAAACATGCTAAGATTAAGGAATGAATGTTCATAATATCTATAATGATTTCTGAAATGGTGTATCAAAGTAATACTATGTAACAGTAATATGTCTATGCATATAAAGAGAGTTAAAGAAAATGTTGCAAAATGTTTAGAATAGGTCAATCTCAGTGAAGACTATGGATGTTCATTGTACTATTCTTAAAACTTTCTTGAGTCTTTTTATGCAAATTCCACTAAAGCAATACCTGTTCTTATAGCCCTGACTTTTCTTCGTATTGCTCATGTTTTTATAGTCTGAGCATTTGAGGAACAATGGTCTCAGTCATTTTTTAGAGGAGTTTTTAAGTAATAACTTGGATTTTGTTTTGTCCTAAAACAGAGAGCTATCTAAGCAGGACTATTATTTCTCTCACACAATACTGTGGACTAGAAAGATTCTCAAGATAGTCTTCAATTGTAAGAGATGACAGTCACTCAAGGTCTAAGTAGCTACTAGGGGATTCAGTGACCTGTCAAATCACTTTTGCAAATTATGTTTTCTGGAAATGTGCCAGAACAGTGGCTTTTTAAAGCAAAAATGGCCCCTTGATGTTGTTACCATAGGAAGCTAAAAGAAGCTCTGCTGCTGTTGGAAGTACTGTTTTCCTGACTTTTCACTTTTTTTGCTCTTGCTTTTCCACTGATTGAAAGATCAAATGATTCTTAAGAGGTATATTATAATAAGACACCTGCAGCAGACAAGGTCAAATTTATTTTTATAAATCTGGATTGTTAAAGATTCTATAACTTAGTAAATTACCTGAATACTAAGTCACTGTAATAAAGAACATTCTTATCCAGCCAAGTTCTTCACAAATTGAGAAATAAGGCAGATAGGTCTTTTATTACTTTTCTTACTAGTTACAGGGATGTCAGTTGTGGTTTTTATCTCCAGATACACACTAAATGACAGAATTAGGCTTACTCCTAGAGGAGGAAAAATAAGGGCGCTGTGTTACATATGTTCACTTTTTCCTACCAAAGTTAACAGTCAGTAATTCAGTCATCCCAATCCAAGAGGAATGAATAAGGGATGTGGAGGGTCAGGGCTGTTAAAATCAGTAAAGCTAAAAACAATGAGTGAGAAATCATTATTTCTTTAAGCAGTAGGGAGTGAGAACAGGATGTTATCTTCATCGCTTTTAGTTATTAAGTTGAGGTGAATAGAAATATTCTTGATAACTGAGGGGGAAAGATTTGGTTTGGGGGCAAGGTGAACTGTTGAACTGTCAGTGAAAACCACTGTGTGAAGACAGAGATCTAGAATTAAAACTTTTGGAAGTAGACCTTTTTATTTTATTTTTTTGAGACAGAGTTTCACTTTGTCACCCTTGGTAGTACTGTTGGCATCATAGCTCATAGCAACTCAAACTCTTGGCCTCAAGTAATCCTCTTGCCTCAGCCTCCCAAGTAACTGGGACTACAAGTACCTACCACAATGTCGAAGTAGACTTTGTATACGAAGTCGGGTCTGGTGGCTCATAATAGTCAACAAAATAAATTTCCGGTGAGACTTTCAAGAGTGTCCTATGCCAAAGAAAAGTTAAGAAGTTTGAGATCTAAGAAAAGGCCCTTAGTTGTTTTTTTTTTTTAAAGCCGGTTAGTGGAGATATACTGGTGCAGGGAGTTTTGTTTGATTTGTTTATGCTGAATCCCCCGGTGCCTAGAACAGTTCATTCAAAACTCTCAGTAAACATTTGTAGATGTACTGAAGTGGTGGGGCTATAAAGTCATACTGCAGGAATTTAAATTTTTTAAAAATTGTTTATTGTGTATTTTTTAGATTTATATATTCAATTCATATATATAATATATATTTATTATCTTCTCAACTATATTATGAATTCTTTGAATATAGAGTTTGCGTCTTATTTATCTCTTACTCTTGCCTTTGCTTGTGGAAGCTGATGAGTGAACGTGAGTTGATTGCTGAAGGAATGAATGCATTGAAAGGAAAAAGATAATTCAGTAAGTCAGTGCAGGAAATGAAGATTTGTTTCAAGATGAAAGGACTTTGTTCATTTGAAGACAAAAGAAAAAAATGAGTTATATCAGAGGGAGGAGATAAATACGTGTAAAAAACTTCTCAAAATTTAGGATTGTAAGCCCTGTGATCCTATTATCTCTGCCATAAGTGGAATACAAGTTTGGTTATTAAATTTTTGCTCTGAAGTGATTTGTATAGTCTTAGTATATATTCCCATATATTCTGAATAAGCATTCTTTCTTTATAAGTACGATTACCAGTTAGTAAGAAAAGTGATTGCTCATATTCAGGTCTGCCTTACTATGTGAAAGTGTGTATAGTATATGTTTGTTCTTTAAGCTAAATGTATTCCTAAGTTTAATACATTCTACTTTGTAGAATTGTAATTTTAGAGACAGAAGGGACTTGATAGATTATCTAACTTCTTCATTTTGCTTAATTGATACTCAGAAAACTAGAATCTGGGAGCCAAATTTTATTTCATTTTTTTCCCCTATGTGTCAGGCCCTATGTTATACCCCTTAACATGCATTATTTCATTTAATTCCTATGCAGAGCCCTTAAGGGAGTTAACGCCATCATCTATATTTTACAGGCAGTCCCTAGGTTATAAACAAGATCATTTCTGTAGGTTCATTCCTAAGTTGAATTTGTGTGTAAACTGGAATGGGTACCTTTACCTATTACTTGTAATAGCCTCTGTTTGTAAGGCAGGTCGTATGTCATTCAGATATTTGTAACTCGGGGACTGCCTATATAGGTAAAGAAATTGAGATATAGAAAAGCTACATAACTTACCAAGACCCCAAACCAGTGACTTGAGGAGCAGAAACTTAGACTCCATTTGTCTGATTGCAAAGTCCACAAGCCACCAAGGTATAACCACCTCCTAAAAGGTCAGAATTCCTCAGAGTGTGTTATTTCCAACTCTTGGTTCCATTT